GACGTTTTGAGATTCAGTTCATTGTGTTGTTGCCCCCCAGTGGCACAGCGGTATGTCTGCGGACTTACAACGCTAGAATCCGGGTTTCGATGCCGGTGGTGGGCAGAGCACAGATAGCCAATTGTGTAGCTTTGTGCTTAATTACAAACAAACAAACAAAGAATCGTTGTTGTTGTTGTTTTTTGAAATATTCGTGAAAAGCTACTCAGGGCCTAGCTACACTAGCCATCCCAAATTGTGAAACTATAGAGACTATAGGGAAGGCAACTTATCAACAGCATTTACAGCACCCACTGCCAACTCTTGGGTTACTCTTGTTGGACAGAATAATGGGATTTGACTGTGTGACGGACTTATTATTATATATTTATTTTAATATCGACGTTCGTTTAGATTAAATTTATATTTAGAAACATACATAGCTTATACTATTAAATATGTATTGCGAAACTCCCGCCTATTCTCTAAAGTTGTAGAAAATTCTCGAGTGTAAGAATCAAAAATATATATGTGTGTGTACATAAACGCTAGTGTTAGCGTCAGTATTGTTGCATAAAATTGAAATTTCGAGAAACTCTCCACACGCCTATAAAATAACCAACGCGACACGCCAAAAAATTAGTATCTATTATTAGTTTGCTATAGTCGGTGTGCTATAACCTTCGGAAACTATAACTGTGATTGTTATAACGCTTATCAATCGGAAAACTTCAGATATTTGACCAGGAGCATTTACAAAGTCCGATCATTACAAACCATTTAAATTCAGTGGATTCTCATCGGACATTAGTACTCTTACGAAAATATTATATATCTTCATCGTGGAAAACTCGGCGTGTGTGGCTAGTGAATAACGAAGGACAAAGCTAGCTAGCTCCCCTTAGGTGAATCGTACCTACATCAACTCGTAATTAACTCACTCATCGTGAACCCTCGATAAGATAGTAAGGAAGTTTCAGACTAGAAATAAGACTTTATATTGCTTGTAAGTTTGTGAAACTTTTGTCTATAAATCATTGTTTGTAATAACTATTTGTATTGACTGTTATTGTAAATTGTATCATTGTTTGTATATTAAAATATATATATATGTATAAAAGAAAACTGCGTGTATCAATCGTGTTGGCAAATATCATAAATTGGAGATATATCGGCATATATTTAACTATTAAATCTAAATTATCATTTAGCTCGGTTTCAGACCATTCGAAATTCTAATATGTAACAAATGTCAAACATAAAACGAACCCACAGCCCAAAGGTGCGGAGCGTTTTTGTTTTGTTTTTAGGGTAACGGGACGCAAACACTGGACACACAAATCCATAGTAGTTGAGCACGTTAATTACTAGGCCACGTTCAGCTCTTATTTATATCACGATGGAATTTAGCAGTTTGTTTCCCGTTATCAAAAAGAGGATATAAGGATAATTTGTTATAACTTGATAAATGTTTTTGGAATTAGAATAAGATATTTATAACGTGAGAATAGTGTGCATCATTAGATCATGTTTCAAGGTTTTTTAGAACTTGCCGCCAAAGTCAATTATTTCAACATAGAATTAGTTAAATACCTTTCATATGCACTGATTAATTTCTGCCGGACTTCTCCGGATCCGAGAACCGGAAGCTTATTTGGATTTTTTTTTTAATATAGAAGCGGAAACACTACAACTAAATTCAAAGACTATCTTAGTTGCATTACAAATTGACATTTGACTATCGTAGTCAATGAAATTTTCCCCCCTCCAGTCCAGTCCTATATAATGGCCTCCAACGTTTGAATTGTTATCTTACAAAGCTAAAAAGCTTATCTTCGTTGCCTAGCTAAACACCAAATGAGCATGTTCATTAACAGAAAGTTATGTTTAAGAATTTATTTCTACTTTTCTACTTCAAGTTATTACTCTGTTTCTGTAGAAGTATTTCGGGGAGTTTAACCCCTGGGAGACAGATATAGCTGTCGCCTGTACATAATTTAAACCCTTTTTCAATGAAATATTTAAGGTAAGTTAGCATAAATGGGTATGTTTTAACTTGTTCAAATCAGTGAACGAGTCTGAATGTTCTCATTAACCTCTGGGTAACTTTGCTAATTCGTCATTTTAAAGTAAAGATTATTAATATTCCGAATTGCACTTATTCGTGAAATTCCTCTTGGTTTAATGTTCCAAATGGGTTAAAAATAAATTAAAATGTCAATTCCTATCATATATCAAGTTGATAAATTTCACTCTAACTTTATAACATTAATAAAATAAAGCTTCGGAGCCGGGCGTATACCAGTATGCCTGGATTGTGAATCCGAAAGTCAATAGCTCTTACCCCCCATTGCTGTAAAAATGCGCTCCTCCGCGCTTTGGGTGCACTGTAAGAGTGACTGACAAATCACACACAACACCCCCCCCCCCTCCAAGTGCCACAGTGATATGTCTGCATACTTACAAAACTAGAACGTGCGGTGTGGTTGCTGTTGACTAGCTATTTTCCTTTTGATTTATCAGTTCAAAATAGCCCCCCTCCTCCCGGTGACTCAGCGGTAAGCCATTGGACTTATAACGCTAAAAATTGGGTTTCGATACCCTCACTGAGTAGACCACAGGTAGTCCATTGTGTAGCTTTGTGCTCTACAACAAATAAATCAAATTAGAAACGGCTATGCACAGGCAGTCCTTCAATAGGTTTCACGAAATTCAAAGAAATTAAAAAAACAACTCCTGTTAAGATCGTTCGTGCACTATACTTTTATCTG